GTCTACTGGTCATATTTTTTAAAGGAAGTGCATTGGTTCTAAAGCTTGTCCGTATGAAAAGCATGACACAGAAGTACAACAGTCTTGGGGTTCTCCAACTTGTCTTCTTGTAATCTCAGCATGTTTGTTGGAAGTTTGACAGTTTCTTGTGCCTCGCGAGGTTGTTAGGCGGAACCGCTAGAGTTGCTGAGGCGCTTGGTGGTTTAGAGCGTAAGTCTAACACTTGAAACGCGTTCAGTTCTCTGATGACGACTATTCAGTAGAAGCGTTAGGGCATTGAATAAATGTTACAGTCATAACCTCGCAAAGCAAGAAAACTCAACTCGCAGCCATGAAAATATTTGAAGTGGCCTTCTCTGGGGAGCCGTTCTGGCTTTAGGTCCATTCTTGATCCATATCACCGTGGGCTGCATGTGGATGATATCGACCTTCCTTCTCATTGTTACAAATAATCGGGTCAGTCATATGTGCGATTCTTCAAGAGGATCTTTTGCTTCTTGCTTCTACAATGCTACGAAGTTTCAAACTATAGCTCACAACACATTTGCTGTGGACTTTAAAAGTGTGCGCCAATATTTAGTAGCCACCCTGTAGTCACACATTTTGCTTTTCGCTTTCAGTGTTTCATTTCCAGGCTTGATCAAACGCCAAACATTTGCAACACCGCACTCAATTTGCTTCGCTTTTTTGGTATTGAGTTTTCTTCTTTGTCTTGTTTTTTTTTCTGGGTTCAGTTACAACGCTCAAATAGAACTATTTGGATGGTGTTTACAGGGCGGTTATATCCGTATGACATTCCTCTTGCCATCCATAGCTGAATACTCGGTTCCCGCCCTAACCCAGCAGTTTGAATATTTCTTCTTCTCGGTATGTCAGGCATTCATTGAGATTTCAGCAATATATGTTTCAATTTGATAAAAATATCACTTAAAACATGGATTCAGCAACAGCTTTAGTTTCTTATGAGGAAAAATGTACGTTTCCTCCCAATCAAAAAACATGAAAGTCATTAATTGAAACATTTCGCAAAATGAGTTTTTGGTGAGATATTGTGATTTATGTCACCTGAAATTCCAGATTTGCTTATTCTTTGGTGCTGATGGATCAGAAACGGTGGAACCTCTTGTTAGAATTGAGGCCGTGCTTCGTATCTTCAACCGGACTTATAATAAGCGAGTCAAGCTGTTGTCCGGGAATACGAAAAGGTTTGCGATTTTAATTTGACTCGAGGTAGATTCTTTCTCTTCAAGGAATCGCAGTGCTAATCATCCTCACGTTCTTGGCAACTTCAAGTGTCCAAAACTCGCATTACTACTCACTCATCCAATTGCTGATGAACTATTTTGTTTCTTTTCACCTTTACATTTGTCAAAAACTAACTTGTAGGGTCTCCGGTTGATGCGGCCATCACTCTGTTCAGGATTGAATCTTAGCCATGTCGACCGGCTCTACGGGATCGTGGAGAGAATAGTTGCTGTAGAATCTGTGTATGTTTGAGAAATTTCTCCTCAACGGGAACTTCCCAAACATTCGCGTTTTGCAGAGAGTTTGTTGCTCGACAACTTGATATGTGTAACGACCTGTAATGGAGTCGCTTCTCCCACCAGCTAACGAGGAAACACTGTCGAATTTGGATCAGTTCTACAGCAAGGTGGGAATAAAGGAATATGGTGCTGTGGGGATGCCTTCTTTGATTTATGATAATAAGGCCTTCGAAGTTGTCTCTGACAATTTTACGTTAATGCCCTTGTGCAAATGTGCTAGATGACTTCTTGACTCAAATAACACTGAAGTGCCTGAAAATTTTAGTGTTATTCTGGTTGTTCCTGGAAACTCGACGCTAGTTTACGACAGTGTGGCCAGCCGGGTGCTCAAATATCCTGTTCTCATTGCTGCTGTTTCAAATACAAAATGGGATGTGAATGAATTACAGAGCCGTCATAGCAACTATGTAGACTTTATGGTTAAAGTAAGTTTTCTGTAGTGTGCTTGATGGTCCTTTGTTATTCATCAATTTTCAGCCTATTTTGTTCCAGGACTTTGAAGGGTTCGCATTGCGGCTGGAACGCGCCACTGAAAGCATTCATCTCAGTGAAGCAGGACGTGCACTACTGTGGGATAGGACTATTTATTATGCTTTCAAAGCTTTAGTTCAAGGGTATGTGGAACTCAAAGCCAAAACCTGTAATTCAGATAATTGGCCTTGTTACAGATATTGTGAAGGCGGCAAGTGCTCAACCGAAGGACGCGCACTAATGCAGTTGGACTTCCAACATTTATTGCTGAAGGTTCGTGAAGAAATGTGTTGGTAAAAACTTAATGTTGTTTAAGCGGAGTTAAAATCGTTTGGCAACTTGGTCACAGGACTGTGTACATACCTCTATTTCGGAAAACGAGAAGAAAATCGAGTGCAGACCACACACCACAAGTGACGACGGCCAAGAAAAAGTGGCTTTTCTTTTTCTTGGCCGTCGTCACTTGTGGTGTGTGGTCTGCACTCGACGTTCTTCTCGTTTTTCGAAATACAGGCTGTATAGCACTACTATGGTTAGCTTCCTACCCTTGTGAATAAATATATGTAGGTAAAAACAGCTGGTACTTGATGCTTTTGTCTCAATGGGAGCATCAAAGAGTTGAGTTTTTGAACGCTGTATAGGAAAATCTGACTGCCAACTGTATACCTGATAAAAGTTATGCTCCAAGCACATTTTTATTACAGCTCGAGCCTATCTGTGGTCTTCGTCCCGTTCCGCATACAGCTTTTGTTGAAGGATACATAAAGGCATTCTATCTACCGGAAAACGGGCTTGAGGAATGGATTAGCAAGCATACTGTGGGTCCATCTGTTATTACTCCAATGCCGCATAATTTACTGCGTACATTAATCACTCTAATGGAACAAGCAGAGAAATAAATCTGAGTGATGATCAATGAATCAAATTCCAGGAGTACACCGCCAAACAAATGATCTCACTTCTCAGCGTTGCCACTCATGTGTCGAAGAAGGCCAGAACAAGGATAATAAATGCCCTCAACGACTGAGTACAACAATGACAGTTCGTGGTTGTAAAGGATTCGGTTAAGCTGTCGGGGTGAACTTTCTAAAAAGCAGTGTTGCAATATTTGTACATTTTACATTCCATATTTGTACACAAGGGATATGATAAGTTATTATTTTTGCACAGCATTCTAGTCACAAGGCGTTTAATTATAAGCATAAGAGCATTTTCGACGAAGATCTGTCAACTGCTTGTGTCATTAGATTTTTATAAACATATCAATATTTTCGTGTGTAATTCGTTAACCTAAGAATACAAAGTCTTCTCATTTTCTGTCCAATGCTGCCATTCTCTACTAGAGAGCTCTTTCGGAACGCTGAATCTTTTTTGAAACACCGGCTCTTGAGCAATGATATAGCGCATCACTGACGAGGAACCTACCAGAAACCATGTTTATATATTCCTAACACCCTTCTGAAACCAGAAAAGGGGGTCCTAGTTCGATTCCTCTTGGTGACAAATTTTTGCATTTCGAGTTGACGTTCCAAAATTCGCGCAAAATGGAGTTAGCATGAATAATTAGTACCATATTCATGATTAGGGCCGTCAGTAACTCCTACAAAAAGACTTTGACTTAAAAATTGGTGTGAGAGGTGTGACATCAAGCAGCCCCACTGTGGTGTCACACCTTTTTCACCAGTTCTTTTTAATCAAAAACTATTTGTTACGAGTTTATACGACGGTCCTAATCATGAATATGGTACTAATTATTCATGCTAACTCCATTTTGCGCGAATTTTGGCACGTCAACTCGAAATGCAAAAATTTGTTACCACGAGGAATCGAACTAGGGACCTCCTTTTCTGGTATTCAGAGGGCCGTTCAGGAAAAATTGAACATGGTTCTGTGGTTCCCGCATCTGCCCCTATATCATGCAAAAGACCGTTTTCAAAAAGCTTGTCACGCCCTGAAAGACCTTCCTGGTAAGGTTGAGAGAGATAACTGTAGATGCTGCTTATTGTTATAACTGCTTGTCTAAACTTCTACCGGAGAAAAAGCGTCTTAAAAAGTAGGTAACCATACGAAATGCACTCATGGGGATGTTCGACAATCAAGACCCGAGAAAGCAATGAGAGTCAACCTATTTGCTTATTCCATCGCGGTTTTCAATTTCCAATTAGGCTGGGCTGAGTGTTTCAGAAACCTATATTTATCAATTTTCAACACATAGCACATAAGCTTAAAGAAAGTCAAAAAGAAGCCAAAGAGATCCAACCATTCGTACCAAAAACCATAGAGCTGCTTAATGTACTTATCATACACAATTGAAGTATTTAAAGCTCCACTGAAGCAATTATTGAAAACTGTCGGTAAATTTTCGTCATCACAGATATGAAGAAATCCGAACCATCGAAAACTCGAAGTCAACAACCATTACAAAAACGGGTAAATTATGAATTAGTAGTGATACATCATCGATAAACACGTCATCTGATACAGTCTCATATTGTATAATATTATATTACTAAATTACTGAGTGGATAGAAGAGAACCTACGATATACTTTATCACAAAAATAAATAAAACGTGTGTAAGCGTAGCCAAATCAAAACGAAACCTCCTCATCTGGAGTTATTTCGCTCACTTTAGCTCAGTTTTTTCTTTGTTTTCACCGGTTAACCGTCGTAGGAGTAATCAGCTTTGTTATGCATGATAAGCTGGTCATCTACAAAGTAGAAGCTGTCTGAGCGGGTTTCGTACGGGCTTTCCACCATTTCCCTCACTGAAATTAAAAATTAAAATAGAAAGCGACTCTGCATTACAAAGCAGAGGTTAGGTTTACAGCGGACATTTTTTGTAATGAACAGAATTTCAAAGAACACAACAAAAAATGCTACAAAATTGATAACAAGGAAATTATTAGGCACATTATCAGGCAGGGCAAGAAGATTACGGTCTCATTGGGTCTTCAATGTGATTTTACTGATTTCAATTCATTCACGCCATCTTGCGATAACTTTCGTATGGCGAAGGGCGTCCAAAGCAATCAACAATCAAAAATTCAATATACGCAATGTACGCGAAGATTCAGCATTAGGGTCGACGTCGATATCGGCTAACCGGTTCCTCAAGTTAGACATGTGCGTGGTGATGTGCTGTGGTAAATATACATGAAAAGCTGAGTTGAGGTGAAGTGATGTCACCGTAGTGAACCTGATAGCACATTTACCCGATTTTTTGTGACTTCACTTTCACAAACATTCAGGTTCGCGGCTTGAGCGTACACCATCCATAGCTAAGTGAAAGGTCCCGATCTTCAAAGGTTTCGTCTCATGTCCCGATATTAGTGATTTTTCTTCAGACTGTGCGTAACCCATTTAATTAACACTTCCAATTTATTATTCCTCCTAGTGTGGAGTGCGTGACGCGCTGCCGGGATTCGAAGACCTGCCACAGAGAAATTCGATTAGCTTACTCCATTAAGAATGTCCAAGCAATTGCCGGATTGCTGCAATTAAAATGCGCTTGTAGACCGCAAGTAAAATCACCCTCAAAAATTGAGTAGGCACCAGGTGCCTGTCTCGTTAACAGAACTTCTTTCAATTTATAACTCATCCTGGAACAATAGCTTACGCCCCAGAGAAGTTAAATTTTGAGGTCAATCCTCCTAGTCGATTATCAGCGTCGGATTTTTTTTCTTTGCTTGCGCTTTGCTAACTCTTAGCAGAAAATAGGCTAATTAGTTGTACTGGTGAGGCGAAATATGAAGACTGTTATTGACTGCTAGAAGTAATGGTTTGGAAGTAGTAGTTCAGTTAAAAAGTAGTAAGTTTAATTAATTCGCTCCAGTTGTTAGAAGGTAAAAGAAATGTTGAAAGAGGAAGCTGACGATCCCACAGACAGCCTGAATCGCACATCGCCCTCAAACATCAGAGAAAATAGTGGTTTTCATAAATAAAAAATAAAAAAGATGTGGGTCTGGCACGCTCAATGCTCTGCACACGGGCAAAAAACTTCTCAAAAGCGAAAAAATTATTGAGCAATAAATATTGGAGTCTCATCATATGAAAGGTGTAACGAAACGAGAGTGCTAATAACTAGTATGAAACGCACCTAGTTCAGGACTGAGATGCGGGAACTCGTAGATGTGTTCACAGGTATTTTTCGAAGTTTGGAATGCAGAACCCAAACTCGAAATCGAAACTCTTCAAGAGGCGGTCCTGCAAGTGAAATCTTCCGAATTCTGCAGCGAATACCTTTAACACGTTGTCTTATCAATAGCCATAAATCCTTCAGCGTTTTCGTTATCAGTAATGAAGATATAAATTTTTCGAATACAACAATGTACACGACTTCGTTGTGGAACAGAGGAAAACGCCAAATAGATTTAGGGAAACTAGCCTGCCCCATGCGAAAAAAAGTTTATGGCATCATACCACATGGTCGTCAACGTGTTAAACAGCTGAAGAATTTCAGACACAACAGAAGTTTCGCAGCTTACCAAACTCCTACGCTACTAATCCGTCATAATCATGTCGAGTGCATAATGTATTATTATGACGTGAGCCAAGACGCAGTCGATATCAGACCAATCAATTTCAATTGATTAAGAACCTGAATCAGTAATGGTATACAAACTGAAGAAATTCGAAGCTCGGACAGACTATGGTTTATTTCTGCATAAATAATCCTACATCTTCATTCAGCTGCCACCCCCCAACAGTCCTTCTAGAACCCGGTAGATCTGAGAAGGGAACTGCTTCTGCCAGCTTGAAGCCCGAGTAGGGTCTAAGTAAAGAATTCACTATCTCTTCTGACGAGTTAATCTCAATCTGAACGGCCACCCATTCTTCATTTGAGATAAGCTCTCTTCTCGGGAATGGCCAGTGCCTTTCCCACGACGCAATTACTTCGCGGCATTGATTTATAACTTGCATGTGGTTCTCAGAATGGAAACTGGTAAATCATTTTGAAAAAGCACAGATCACTGAGATCACCCTCCCCTTTCCAACCGCGACGTAACGGCATTCATCACGAAAAATCAATTTAGTAATCATAATATTGCTGCGGAAAATATGGGAGCTTACGTCGAGAAAAAAGCTGACATACAAATGTTAAGTGACAACTTAATAATAAGATTTCGCAAATAACCGTAACTGATATTCATAAAAACAGTGACCATCTTGAAAAGCGGCAAATCGATGTACTCAAGGCTGCCGCAAACTTTTTTTGTTGAGTAAGGTCTTTCATTCGTTATAACAATCTTGTCTTCTTCAAGACTTTCGAAATAATAGAATAAGAACAAAAATCGCCTCAAATAAAATAGCTCACCTTGAAAAAGTGCCTTTCTACCATCCGGAACTTGTTGATCGGTTTACTTCCTACCACAAACTCAACTGTCGCACCAACCTAAAAACTTCTTCTCGACAATGAATGAATCGTATATAAGACGTTGTGTATGCTCAAGTTCGGAAGTTAGCAAAAAGTAATTTGACCCAACTAAACCCAAACAGTAGTGCTGAAGTGAAAGAAGCTCCCGCTGATTTGCTTCACATCTTTTATTTCATAGACAAAACCACCCTTAGAATGTTTTTTACTCCAGGTGTCATCAAAAACCTTTTGAAACAACTTTCAACTTTACTGGCTGTTCATGAGTAACCGACGAAGAATCTTTAATAGGGATACAACCAAGTCTAAGAGCAGAAAGTCGACTGTATCATCAACATAATATTACCATAACGAAAATAAAGTAAAGAAACTGTTGAAAAATGTGGCTAACCCTTTTCAAGTGCAAGAAATCCTCTGAAAACCTATAGCGTACGTAACGAGCCGCCTCAGTAGGTTGGTCCTCACGTTCAGAAGCATCATCTAAAAATATAACTCTTCAGATTACAAAGGCTCAAATTCTTTTGCCGAGATTATGTATGCTTGAAATCGGAAGTGAGTTAAGAGTTGTTAGGGACTTTTCACATTGAGAAATCATAAAAAATGAGCATGAAGTAAATATGTCAAGTGGTGGGCTCCAACAAGAAAAAAAAACGACGAACCCGACGGCTTTTCTATTTCAAACAACACTTGGTCTGTGTCCAGATCTCGAATCTTGAATCTGGTGAACTCTATATCGTAAATGTTGGCCGACGGCTTACAGAGATAATCTGAAAATATTACGCACATTATCAAAGAGTGAAATAATTTGTTAATATAATTTCTTTCCATAGTCGATTAAGGGTGTGGGTACTTAGGACAGAACGCGACTTTTTCGCTCTTCGCAACGCGACATCGCGCGGCAGGCTGGCGCACCCGTAGCGAAAACAACTACGGTATATAAGAACGCGCGATTGGAGCAGCTTTTTGCATGCGTGAATTTGTAAGTTTCTGATTCCTTACTTGCCCGCGCTCACACCCATTGTATTGATAAATGCGGTGAATCACTAATTCTGTCTCATTATTGAAAACGTTTTGTGACTTACACGATTCCGGGCGATGCCACACAAATGGTGTTTTACGAATTATCGGTGAACGAGGGTTTAATAGTGGCCGCTTGTGCTTGCATTTTGTGGGTTCATATTGTTGTATAGACTTCTGGGGTCTATTCCAGTTAGGGGGGCATCATGATGCAGTTTCTCGGCGAGCTAATGTAAACTCGAACATTCCAGCTTTCACGCATGTCAAGTGACTGCCCTCACCCCCACCCCCTAGGCTGGCTACACTCCCCCTGGCTCAGAGTTACCGTAGCTTTTTGGGAGTCACCGCACCATGATGCCCCCCTAACTGGAATAGACCCGAACTTTCTGCATAAGGTATAACATCTTTTACGAAACGCTTCTGTCCTCATTACGGATATGATACTCATTTTGGACGCTGGCGCCATTTGGGGCCAGGTGGCGCCACAACTGTTTCCCACTAAATTCGTTTTAAACTTTTGTATAGGGGTTATTCGGGGTCCTGATTTGTTCTTAGCGCTATTCGGCGCCTGCATCCTGCTCGTCTGCGCCCTCGCACTAATTAGATCGCAGTAGGACTAAGCCTTTGAGTAGTGTAGGGCTCCAAAGTGGGTAGGCCATTCCCCTGTGGTCTGACACACTCCAACTTTTGCCACACGGTGCGTGGTTTACCCACTCCGGAGTTTCACTCCCCTCCCCTATGCTTAGTCGTAGGCGCTGTAGGTGAGAAAGCTTAGTAAAGCAGAAAGTATGCGTTAAACAGCACGAATGGGAAAAATTAGTGTCATATTCATGATCAGGGCCCCAAATAACCCTATGCAGAAGTTTACAGTCGTCTCATCAAACGTCCATCAACCATTCCTTTCCAGGTTCTCCAGAAGCTCTACCATCCATCTCTGCAAAAATAACCTACCTCCCTCTTCACTGCTAGTTAGCGGTCCACTTCTGGTTACCATTTCCTCGTTCATTATCAAATCCATGGCTATTAAGCTTCAAACTCCTTGTCGCAATCAAAGCCGACACAAATATCGCGCTCCAATCGCGCGTTCTTATATACCGTAGTTGTTTTCGCTAGCGGGTGCGCCAGCCTGCCGCGCGATGTCGCGTTGCGAAGAGCGAAAAAGTCGCGTTCTGTCCTAAGTACCCACACCCGTCGCATTTTCAAATTTACAAATATTGACACAGTTGACCCAGCTTGGTATTAGAAATGATTCCATAGCGAGAATATCTAGGCTTTTTTTTCTGGAATTTCAGTTTAAAGTACACTCAACAGCTACACAAAGGTGATTATCAGAAAAGTCAAAATGTTGAGCAGTTTACAACATTGCTTATGTTTCTTATGCTATCTAGCTACAAAACACGACGCAAACCGCGAGAAGGTGCGCACCACGGAAGAATCGTTTTGATTGATTTATCTGGCGTTCTATGATGTTTTATTGAGGTGTAAGCAAACAAACAAAGACATAACTTTTGAAAAAAAAAATGTTGATAAACTCACAATGAATGAAAAAATTAAAGAAGATGCGGAGATGCATGAGATGCAGAGGCCGGTAACATATTTAACAACCACAAGTTCGACAGGAAGAGAAAACTTTGATCTTTTCGAATAGAGAAGGTAATATGAAACAACTAAATTACCTTGGGTAATAGAGTTGAGCCTTAACACGTCTTCTGGTCGCACAACTTCAGCCGCTCGAAGATCAGCTTCACTAGTCAAATCGGTTTCTTGTCGAACTTCTGACAGCATACCCGCTCTGGAACGTAAGAAAAATAAATATCTGGAAATTCAGCAATCTGCATCAGAATACAAGTTAGCAGAAACATTCAACAACTACAACACAATATATCGAGTAATCTTCCAGGATACATCACTATGAAGCAAAATGTACGAAACATAACGCCGTTGGTGAAGCAAAAATTCAATCAAATAGTGCTCTTGCGGCCACGGAAGGGCGGATTACGGCAGTAAGCTCATGAGGGGTTTTCGAGTGCCGCGAGCCTGCGCGCTTCACTCTGGTAATCTAAATTGCGAATCAACGTTGTTTTTTCCTGAGCAATCGTACAAGGCGAAAGCAAGTAGCACACCACTTTTCAATTTCCGTTCGCTCGAGGAAAAGCTGCCTAATCGAGCGAAAACATGCAATAATGTCTAACTTCGTATCGATTTCGTGTGTAGTGGTCGTCAGCTCAGTGGGTGCAAGATAGGACTGACGCACGCAAGGCCTGTCGCTATTTCCAATTGTCTCCTAGGTTTCACCAATCTTTTGGATTCTTAAGATTTGTGTGGAGGCCTAAAGGACTTCGCATAAGAAAAGTGCCTGAATTGTATTGCGAACATGTACTGAGCAGCCACCACAAATGTTTGGTGATGCCATCATGGGCCATCATGTTGGGATCCGAACCAGTATCGATTCTCGGATGAGGAATGCAGCGCAGCGGTAACGAGAAAAATGATTTCTGAGTCAAGCAGCATGAGATGCTAACGTTGGCAAACTGTAACTTCAGGAAACTATGCCGGAAGCCATTAGCCTTTGCAACTCGGTAAACTGAAAAAAAGGAAAGAACCGGTAGCAGAAACTGGACAACTATCACAATTTCCTAGTCATACACGCGACTGACAACTTTTGCAGAAACTAATGTAATCTGGGCACGCATACGGAAGGGAACTCAGAATGCAGACCTTTCCTTATAGTATGAATGGTGAAATTATTATGTATGGGTTATTAACACGTTGACGACCGCCGTTGTGCGCGTACTGCTTCAACATTTTTCGTATTCTCTCATCAATAGGCATTAATCCTTCAGCGTTTTCATTATCAGTAATGAAAAACTGTTTTTCGGATCCAATAATGTACATGGACCGTTGTGGAACAGAAAAAAAACGCCAAATAAATTAAGGAAAAGTAGTCTGCTCCATGTGAAAGTGTGGTATCGATATAGTGATAGTAAAGTAATGGGTATGATATCATACCACACGGTCGTCAACGTGTTAAAAGCTGTACATAGGAATGCAAAAAAGCAGCACTTTTCCTACTAAGCTTATTGAAAAACAAAGATAAGACAAAGCAAATGCTGAATTTACTGAAGTAACAGCTCATCTTTTCGAGAAAAATCGAATTTTCTAGAGTGATGTTTGAGTTAAAACATTCGGTAACGCATAAAACGAGGATGTTCTATTCCAGAAGAACGACTTTACGGCCGAAAGATCGTGGACGAACGAAAATCGCGAAAGCTTTTTCGAACATCAACAGAAATCCAAAATGAAAGATGGTTCTCTCTCAGAAATGACCATGATAAATGACACTGCGATTGCGGTCTGCACTTCACACTAAGTCGGGGAAACGCGCTGAAGCAGCCTCCACTTCTTGCCACTGGTCAATGCCAATGAGTGCTGGCGATGCCAGAGAAATGTCGACTGCTAATGCATTCGCATGCATCCATAACCCAGTTCTTAATCGGTCGTTTTCTTCCGCGACAAACTAATAGAAATCTGGCTTATGGGCGCAATCGCGTAGCTCCATAACTTTTTGCTAACGCGCGCCAATACAAATAGCGCATATTATTCAGAAAATAGACCCAAATCAATTTTCAAAGTAGGCTTTATTGGAGAGGACCTTGAACTATAAATTAAAACGAACCAAACTTTAACAAAACCGAAAAAAGAAATCCACGTGGGTGAGATTTCGAGTAAGAGACTCGGTAACCTCCATGAAAATAAGCCGAATGAGCCACACCAGTCTGTGGGATTAAACCAGAACAAAGCCTTTGGTTGCGAGAAGAGGAAAAAATAATCCATATTCGTCCTACCAACTGATTTTGAAAGAACTGTCGAATACTAACTATGAAAAAGCAAATCGAAAGGAATAAAACTATATCAGGATTCTTTAGCTAGTCCAGTACCTTCCCGTTGGCAGTGGGAAAACCTAGAGCATTTCGAATCTCGACAAACAAGCGATAAAGGTGTCAAACTCAAAAAGGTTCTGCAAGATGCTATAATTGAAAGCTAGGTCACCTAATGTGGCTGTAATATTCTACACGTTTGAACAAGCTCGTTTAAATTCGGCTCAGTAAGATGCATAGCAATCCAGCAGCACCAATCCCAGTGGGGCACTCCAGGAGCAAAAGTTGATGGTAGCGTGCTGGTGAAAAAAGAACATAGCAGAAACCCCGATTCTTCACCCGCCTGCACGGAACATCCATCGATTGAGGCAAAGATTGTTAAATCACAACGTGAAGGACAGAAAGGTCGTCGTGGCTGGTACTAAGAATCATCTAAAATCGAGACATTAACCGTCGCCCGCTCGTATACCACATTTTCCAAGCCTCATCCAGTCACCTTCTGAGCAGGAGGAAATGTGTGTGACTCAGTGATCAACGCTTATTTTGAATTTAATTCCCTCACCACCAGTCAAACCTTGGGCTGGCACGCATGGCACTTAAATGGGATGCAGGATGACCTTACAGTGCGATTTTCTGCGTCCCTATCTTTGATGCTAAGGCTACTGAAGAACTCCAGCTCCATCAAATAACTTTTTCTGAGAAACAGGAAAGTGTAAAAGATTGGGTCGGCTCAAGAACCGACAAAGGGATTAATGGTGATATCAGCTGTCATCACCAATCCCTTTGTCATCAAGCTGTTGCATCATTAACTCCGTGATTCCCTACACTTTCCAGGAATCAGAGATGGCTCGACAGAAGCAGGGGAAAACCCGCCAGATCAAAAATAGAAGAGATCAGAGGATGAATGAACGTCACAGTCAGTCGCTCCGTCAAAGCTGATACTTATCCACGTCCTAAGTGCCCGCTGACAGAATGATACTTCCCGATAGAATAAATCAAATCCAATAAGGTGGTAGCATGGAAGACTGGACCGTGGATGCGCCACCTTACTTCAACGAAGGATGAACATGAAGAGCTGCTTTACCTCCTTCGGCCCAACTTCTTAGCCATCTTTCTTTCAATCTCGCTGTTTCGACCGCTCCGTTGTGAACCAGACGTGCTCTCTTTCCTATTCTAGCAACTATGGTCTAGAAAGCAACTAAAGGACTCAAGCGACTAGCAACCATTAAGCAATGGCGCCGCTATTCGAATTATGCACGATAATTGCTGCCCGTCAGCTACTCATAAGTGAATGCGTTTCTCTAAGTTGACTATTCACAAATATATAAGAATCTTAGTACTTCTACGTTACTAAACTAATACGATGAATCATGCTATACTACTGCTCGAAATTAAGGCTATGCTAATAATAGAAAAACGAACATACAACCCAATCTGAACACATCTGAAAGCCAATGTCTGACTAGGGCAATCTATCGTCATAGCAACATCGATGTCTCAATTCCGGCGGCCTTTAAGTCTTGAGCACTTTACCACCTCACACAAAAGAAATGCTCAGAGGAAACAGCAATCTTGCAGCTGTGTTCCTTACACGGCTCTCAAGGTAGCAACAAAACGAACAAAACCGAACAGAAACGCGACTAACAGCAAGCTTGAGACTGAACCTTAACCCTTTGACGACCGTGTGGCCCGCCGGTGGGCCACACTTTCGCTCGGTGGCGACACGTTTTTAGGGGTTTATTTTGGCATTTTTTATGTTTCAAAACTACACAAATACATTATCGAATTCGCGGAATAATGCGCTAATTACTAATAGTGAAATTGTTGGAGAGTTAATGATTATTGATGAAAAAAATTTAGAAAGAAGTGAAGTGACGCATTCATAACGGCGGTCGTCAAAGGGTTAAATTACTTCATAAAACCTGCGAAGAGGGTGGGAAATGTTGATGAACTCTCCCTCCTCCTCCCTCCCCCACCGATAAGATAAAAATAGTGGGAATTTCTTTACATTACCAAGTTTGCAAAACCAAAAACTGGAAACCGAATATCGTAAATAATCGAAACCCTAACGCCGAATGGATGAAATTATGTACGCAGTTTTAAAGCATACGATTGCCAAACAAAAATGTCATAGAGCGGAACGCTGTGAACGTATGGCTTTGTGACGTACCATCAAAGGAAATCATACAATAGAGGTTTCCACACGTACGATATGAAGTACGACAAAATCCTTCAAACTAAGATCATCGTCCCAAGGGAGAAATTCAAGGTGCATTCGCGACCGCTGTTGCGCTCAAGAATGAAAGCAGATTCAATACGCGATGCTGAAATAATCCAACAAAACTGTGGAGAACCCTAGAGACTTACTGCCCGATCTCTCAATCAGGGGGAAACTGCTTTAAACCACTGGCGTCCTTCGTTGATCGGTCTCAGCCCGCTAACCCACCAACGGAGGGGGCGAATCAATGAAAATGGGAGGTCGTTGTAATTCGCTTCGCTCTTCTCTATTATCGTCTTCGCCTCTTTTTTATATCTAGTCAGCCACTAGCTACACATTTTGCGAGTGTGCAGCAGCCTACACTTATGGTTAGGTAATTGCGGAGTGTACTCTGGAACTCCTTCTGAGAAGCGCAACTGGTTTACTCGATTAATGGAATTGGTGGATTGGTAATGAACCTTGTACACCACGTCAAACGAATATTCCCTAATGAGCTAATATTACAATATATTTCGACCTCTGCTATAGGTGCTGTCACTCTTCAGATGACTGGGTTTGATGTGTGCAATAATAAGTCTATTCTACCTCTATTTCGAAAGAACGAGACGAAGACCGAGTCAGATCACCAAGAGAAAGCGGCTTTATTTTCTTGGCCCTCGTCTCTTATGGTGTGTGGTCTGCACTCGACT